ACAGGACATTTTATCTGAAAAAAAAAAATTTTTTTTTTGAGACAGAGCTTCAAGCTGTTGCCCTGGGTAGAGTGCCGTGGCATCACAGCTCACAGAAACCTCTAACTCTTGGGCTCAAGCGATCCTCCTGCCTCTGCCTCTCAAGTAGCTGGGATTATAGGTGCCTGCCACAATGCCTGGCTATTTTTTGTTGCAGCCATCATTGTTGTCTGGCAGGCCCAGGCTGGATTCGAACCCGCCAGCTCAGATGCATGTGGTTAGAGCCTTAGCCACTTGAGCTACAGGCGCCGAGCCATTATCTGAAAATTGATTCAGAAGTTGCCTTTTCCTCCCTCACCTCACTGGTTTGTTTTAATATTGAAATATTGGTTTTGTGATTGACCATTGAACTGATACTCCAAGTTGAGTCACCAGTGCCAGCCTCACATGCCCCATCCACACCCACTGGGGTCAGAGCCAGCACCATCTAAGGAGCCTGGTAACCCTGTGTGTGCCACAGCCATATCCCATGAGATGGAGTCACTTGGAGTCATGAGGTCCAGCAGCCCTGGCAGAAAGTCCACTAGACTGAGGGTGAAAACCCAGACTCTACCTGATGTCACCAGTGCTAATGCCAGTGTGGCCTGGGGCTAGCACCTCCCCTCTCCGGCCCTCTGGTCCCCTGTGCGGCACAGGGTAGCCATGGACAGTCCTCCCAGGTTTGGGCAGTGCCTTCCAGGTCACACGTGACTCAGGTGGCAGAAATTTGAGGCCAAATGGGAAGCTGGGGGAGCTGATGGGCAGTGGAGAATGGTGGGGCTCACAGAACCCTCAAATCACAGACAGTAGGTGAGTGGTGCCCCACCGCATCTATGAGCCCCCTCCCGTGTGACGAGCTCAGCCCCTGTGCACAGAAGGAGACAGAACACCACAGAAAACTGTCCCACCGGTATGAGCACTGCCTGCCGGGGGGCTGCTAAGCTGTAAGCCTTCTCCGAGCTGCTTTCTGCTGGGGCGCCATCTTTGCACGTGACGCCCACCCTGCGGGAGCCCTGGGTGTCCCACAGCCAAGGGGTGAGGAATGAGGAGGGGACAGCAGCCGGGCTGTCTCAGGGCGACAGAGTAGGGCCCACTCCAAGCAACCCCCACGCCCCTACCCCTACCTCTGTAAGGCCATGGTGCCCCCAACAAGCCTTTCCAGACAGGAATGAGTCTTCTCAGAAGCAGGTGTCATGGGCTTCCCCACCACCTGCTCCCTTTCTCTGCAATGTGCAAATGGGGTTCCAGCCCCCACTGCTCAGAGGCTGCCGTAGCCACCTCCTTATCCCATACATCAGTACCACCACCACCGTGGCCACTCAGTGGGGGAGCCAGACAAACTTAACCTGACCCCAGTGAGCACTGGGGCACCTCTAGGCTCCCTCACAGCTCAGCTTCCACTCCCTGCCCCACCCCGCCGCAGAAGTGGCTGAAACCGTGGTGTTGGTTTGGATTTGTTTAGCAAACAAGACACATGCAAAGCAGCTCCTATCCCTCTGTGTGTGTGTGTGTGTGTGTGTGTGTGTGTGGTGGGGGTGTGTGTGTGTGTGTGTGTGTGTGACTCTGAGTACCCCCAAGCCTCCACCTTTACACTTGGCCCTGACCTGGGTGACACAAGGCAAGGTCCTCACCAGTATGTTGAACACCCATTCCAGGCTTAGTCCCAAAAGTGTGACCTTGGCAAGTCCCTTCCTCTCTCTGGGCTTCACTGTCCCAGTGGACAGAGGGAGGGGTGATAACAGTTGGTCCCCAAGGCTCTGCTGGCTCAGATGCTCTGGCCACTAGAGTCCATTTTCCTCTAACGTTAAGAGCTGGGCTGGCAGGCCAGCAGCAGGGAGCCTGCTGAGGAGGCTGTGATCACTTGCTCACACCTGACAGGCTGCAGAGAGAGATTCTGGCTAAAGCAAACAGGAATGGCCTGTAGACCAGCGGTTCTCAACCTGTGGGTCGCTACCTACAGGAACTGTATTAAAGGGCTGCAGCATTAGGAAGGTTGAGAACCAATGTTCTAGACAGAAATGTGTGGCCAGGTCCTGCCCAGCCAGATGCAGAGCCTGGGCACAGGATGGGCCTTGCCCTCTCCACGGGGCTCGCTGCAGGTGCGCGCCTTGGCCCCAAAGGCCACACCCACATCTTCGGGCCTCAGTGGGAAGAAGGGTAAACAGAGGCTCCAAAGACAGCTGAGGTTGGGTTGGGCCTCTGCCTGCTGCGTGACCTTGGCCAAGGAAACCAATCTCTCTCTCTCTTCCCAAATTAAATCTTAGGAAAACTCTGAATATCAAATACTCACCTTGGAGTTGGGCCCATTACTGGCTTTAAGAAGCAATATAGTAAAGGATTTTACTTAACTTCTTTTTTAGACAGAATCTCACTCCGTCATTCTGGCTAGAGTGCCATGGCGTCATCATAGCTCACAGCAACCACAGACTCTTGGGCTCAAGCAATCCTCTTGCCTCAGTCTCCCAAGTAGCTGGGACTACAGGTGCCCACACAACACCCGGCTAGTTTTCCTATTTTTAGTAGAGATGGGATCTTGCTTTCGTTCAAGCTGGTCTTGAACTTGTGAGCTCAAGCAATCCGCCCACTGCAGCTTCCTAGTGTGCTGGGATTACAGGCCAGAGCCGCTGCACCTGGCCAATTTCACTTGACTTTAAAGCAGAATCCCCCAAAGTTATTTGACCAATGTCGTCTTTACTCTCTTTAAAGCAAATGAACCTCTGGAGGCATGTGGACCACACCCACAGGCTAACACTGGTCAGAGGCACGTCCAGACAGCTCGGGGTTCCCTCTGCAACTACAAGCATGGGTCTCAGGACGCGTTACTCACTCCCCTGAGTCAGAAAGATCCAGATGGTCAACGCAAACAGCTTCTAGTTGGATCCGCGCCTTCTCTGGGCCTTCACTAGGGCATGTCACCATTGGCCGTTTCGTGACAGATTAAACCTCATGAACTGCCATGTGATCAACACACTTTAATCAAGTTTAACCCCAAAGTTAAATGACATTATGAAAAGGAACCTCCTGACAACAATAGCATTTCTTTAAAAATATCCTCTTTTCTCTGGGAAAGAGAAAGCCCTATTGTCTATATTCTTTCATGGATGACTTTGCTGAGCCTCAGTTTTCTCATCTATAAAATGGGATAACAACACCTCCCTTACAGAAGGTGGTGTTGCGGGTGAGAGATAGCAGGAAACCCTCGGCCCCACTCAGTCCCGGCAAGTGATTCATTTGGAAGTGTCTGTGCTGTGACCATGCACAGGCTTGGTGTGGGTTAAGGGGGAGAGGGTTGTTAGTGCCCAGAGACAATGCCTTCTACTGAGGCATTGTAGAATATGCCTATCCACAGGTCACTGCCATTTCATGTTCAATGGCGCCTAAGCTGTAAACAAGGAGCCCAAGCTGCTTGGTGTTGGAGGAGAGAGAACTTTTGGCTGGATGACCAAAGGGGACTTCATGGAGGAGACAGCGTTTGGGTGGGCCTTGTACTGAGGACAGGACTTCAAAAGGGGACATCCATGGCTTGGCAGCACTTACCACGTGCTGGGCCCTGTGCACAGCTTCACACGATGGTCTCTGCACGGCCATGGAGGGGACTGTTGGGTTTACCACTTTACAGAGGAGGACGCTGAGCCCTGGAGAGCTTCAGGGACTCACCTGCAGTCACACAGCTAGCAAGGTGGTGGCTGTAAAGCCGATGCCACTCAGGTTCCAGGACTGGATGTAGATGTCATCTTTGGGGCCATTTTTCAGCCCTCTCTGGTCATTACGTTGAGGCCCTCAAGCTAGGACAATTATCCTGGATTATCCAGGTGGGTCTGATATAATCACAGGGTCTTTATAAGAAGTAGGGAAGAAGGTCAAAGGCTGAAGAGAGGGATGGGGTGACAGAAGCCGAGGCGGAGTCACGTGCCTTCAAGATAAAGGGGCCCCAAGAGTGCAGATGGCATCAGAAGCTGAAAAAGACTAGGAAAGAGACTCTCTCCTGGAGCCTCTGGCAGGAGCACACCCCTGCTAACACCCTGGTTTTAGCCATAAGACCCTGGCAGAAAGCCCCCTAGACTGGGGTTCTGGCCTCCAAAGTCATAAGACAGTACGCTTGTGTTATTTTAAGCAGCTGAATTTGTGGTCATTTGTTACAACAGCCACAGGAATGGGTACGTCCCCGGTTTCTCTGGCCTCACCTGTCCCCATGTTCTCATTGCTCAGGGTTGCTGAGGCCTCTGTTGACAGCGCTGTCAGTGACCTGGACGTGTTGGCTGTGTGCACGTCCCACCGAGCCCTTCCACAGTCTTCTCTGTTTGAGGCTCCCCAACTTCCCTCAGTACCCTGGGCCCAGTAGGCATTTAATAATGCTAGTTGCATGTAAACAAGTCTGTGTCTTTATTGTCATTTACGGCAATTTACAGGCATTTGACAGCAGTAACTGCCAGCCCCAAGGCAGGATCATAGGACTGGCGTGTCTGTGGCCAGCTGAGTGCTGGGCAGAGGTGGGGGTCAGCCAGCACATCTGGCTGCAGCAGAGGGATGCCACACCTCCTGCTGGGCAGGAGGCAGCTCTGACTGTCCTGCTGTAGCCAGAAAGAGGCCCACAAAAATCCCAGGTAACCAGATCCCAGCCCAGTGGTGGACAGAGAGGGGAGGGTTTCTCTGTGAGTCCCAGCTCTCTGGTCTATTCACTCATCCCTGTCTGCCCACGGGCATTCTCTCTTTCTGCCCTCTGCTAGAGGAAGGCACCGAGCTGTAGGCAACTTCAGCTCAGAAGATCCAGCCCAGCGCCTGCATTCTGTGGCAGGAGAAATGTTGAGCCAGAGAGGGAAAGTGACTTGGCCAAAGTCACACAGCAATTTCATGAGTCTCAAGTTTGAAGCCTCCTGCCCGGTGCCACCTCTAGGAGGCTGGGGATCTGGGTGCATGAGCTGGCCTCCAGGTGACAGGACCTCAGGGCAGGCCAGCCAGGCAGGTAGGGAGCCGGCACAGTCTCACTTGAGATTGTGCTGGCTCTCTCGGTGCCGGCGCAGATCCACCTTGCGCTGGAAGCCCTTGGCGCACAGCTCACAGCTGAAGGGCTTGAAGCCTGTGTGCTTGCGGCTGTGGGTGATGAGGTTGGAGCTCTGGCTGAAGGCCTTCCCGCACACCTGACACTTGTGCGGCTTCTCACCTGCCAGGCAGGGACAGACAACAAGGGCGGGGTCAGGGTGTCCTCCTCCACCCCTGGAATTTGCTCTCCAAAACTTCCATATGTTTTACCATATCCACCTTAGAAAATAACCAGAAAAGAGGGACAAAGAAAGACCCGACTCGGACTCCTACCCTCACTGGATTGTACGTGGCTGGGGCTCTCTCTGTCCCCAAACCTGGCATAGGGCCCGGCACAAATGAAGCCCTTGGTTAATAGCGAGGAGAGAAAGGACCAGCAGGTGAACAAGTGAATAAATGAATGAGCAAACGCATCGGCCATGTGCCTGCCAGTCCCACTCCCACCCAGAGGCGTTTGCTGTCTCCTTCCAGCACTTCTCATGCATTAAGTCCTGTAAGTAACACAGATGCCCTCCATCACGGGTGACTTCCACTTTGTGACCAGACCCCACCCCAGCCTCTCTCGGGGCCTGTGGACGTCTCAGTGAAAGTGGGGGAGACTAGGGCAGCCTCCTCTGTCGGGCCCCCTCACCGGTGTGGATGTAGGTATGCTTCTTCATGTCGGACTTCTGGTGGAAGCGCTTGCCGCAGAACTGGCAGGGGTAGGGCCGTGTGTCTGAGTGGATGAGCAGGTGGGTGGACAGCGTGGACGAGCGCTTGAAGGACTTGCCACACATGCGGCACTGGAAGCTGCGCTCCTGCCGGAGGAAACGAGGCCCCGGGGGGTCAGGAGCAGGCGGGGCCTCGCCACCCAGGACTGCCAGGCTGGGTGCAGGACTGGACCCGGCTGGGATCCCCTGAGGAACAGGACACTCTGTTGGGGCGGCCTCGAGGATGGGACCTCCCTCACATTCCTTCCTCTTGATGGGACTTGGAACCTCACTGGCCTCCTGTGGCATTTTTCTCTATAAATTTGGTGCTTAACCTACTCAAAATAAGACTCAGTATAGGTTTACTGACTAGCTGGTGGACCAACTACTCTGAGAGTTTTTTCAGGGGTTCACCTTTCAGGACCACTCTCTCAGAGCGAGCTCCTGGAGGCAGGGGTGGCTATGGGCTGCACTGTAGTTTAGATAAGAGTCTAAGAATGGGCCGAGTGCGGAGGCTCACACTATAATCCCAGCACTCGGGGAGGCCGAGGCAGTGGACTGCCTGAGCTCAGGAGTTCCAGACCACCTGAGCAAGAGTGAGACCCCGTCTCTAAAAATAGCCAGGCATTGTGGCAGGCACCTGTAGTCCCAGCTACTCAGGAGCTGAGGCAAGAGGATCACTTGACCCAAGAGTTCGAGGTTGCTGTGAGCTATGACGCCACAGCACTCTACTCAGGTGAACAAAGTGAGACTCTGACTTAAAAAAAGAAAAAACAAAAAGTCAGCCGGGCATTGTGGCAGGCGCTTGTAGTCCCAGCTGCTTGGGAGGCTGAGGCAAGAGAATCGCCTAAGCCCAGGAGCTGGAGGTTGCTGTGAGCTGTGTGATGCCACAGCACTCTACCGAAGGTGACAAAATGAGACTCTGTCTCTAAAAAATAAATAGATAAATAAATTAAAAAGTCTACAAATCATCGAGGCTCAATTCTGGCTTTTGCCTCCTCATACCCACATGCCTTTAGGCAAGTCATGTGAGCTCCCTGGGACTCAGCTTTCTCATCTGTATTCTGAAGCAGTAAAAGCGATGACCTCACAGGGCTGGAGGCCTGGAGGTGAGGCTGAGCGGCCCCTGGTGCAGTGCTCTGCTGCTCAGGCTCTCCCGCCTTTCCCACCTGAGTCTTGTATTGATACCCAGGGCTAATGACCCCGTAGTGTTCCCTGGAACGGATACCTAAGAAGGAATCTTGCTTTGGTGAGGCTTAGGAGGATGAGATGAATATTTAAACCTAACTCCAAGATTCCAAAAACCAAGGGCCTCAAAGTTGAAGACATCTGTCTTGGCCACCCAGGGAGCAGGGTCGCTTCTGAGCATCATAGACATATCACTGCCCCCCAAAGTCCACCACAGCAAGATACTCTTCCAATTGCATATGAAGCCAGCTCGGTCTATCAGAGGCTGAAGTGTGTTATGGGCAGGTGTTGGAGACCCAGACTTTTATGGAGGCAGGTAGTAGGGGATCCCCCCCATCCATGTTACCCACAAGGGCAGCAAGAGAGACCCGCTGCAGTCCCCAGCCTCCCTGGGGATGCGCAGAGCAGGAGTGGGGGCTGAGGCCCTGTACTCCAGCTGCCCACCTGGGAGTGGACATGCGTGTGCTGCTCCAGGCTTACGGCATGGCCGAAGGTTTTGCCACAGATGTCACAGGCAAAGGGCCGGGTCCCACTGTGGGCACGCCGCACATGCACCTCGAGCCCGTGAGGGGTGGAGAACACCTGGGGGGAGGAGCAGAGTGTGAGGCCTCAGAGGCAGGGAGGGAGGCAGGCCCACAGCCCCCTACATGCCCGTCTCCAGCCAGGGATGGGCATACAGGAAGAGCTCTGGATGCTGCTCCTGGAGCTTGTTTACTGTGCACCCTGGAGAGGCCCTGCGCCCTCTCTGTTCCTGTTTCCTGTCTATATAGTGAGAGATGAGAGGAGGGAATATCCTAGTGGTTACTAATCTGGGCATTGGCCAGAGCCAGGTTTGAATGCTGGTTCTGGAATTTACTTGCTGTGTCATCTTGGGGAAGTGACTTAACCTTTTTGAACCTTAGTCCTTCATCTGCCTCCCAGGACTCATGAATGGCAAATGCTGGGCACTGAGTCCTGCTAATGAGGAAGAACATTTGAATCTTTGATCCCAGCAGGGTCCCAGGGAACAGCCGGCTGGGACCCTCCGCAGCCACCGTGTGCTGGAGCCCCCACTCCTGCTCTGTGCATCCCCAGGGAGCCTGGGGACTGCAGCCGCCATGGGCTCCGGGCAGGGTGTGCCACCCGCTGCCCACCTTGTTGCACTTGATGCAATGATACGCCTCCATGCTGGGGGAGTAGTGGAGGCTGAAGTCCAAGGGGGGCTCAGCGCTGGGCACCAGGGGGCTGCCGTACAGGCTGACGGAGCGCTCTAGGAAGGCGGACTGCATGGTGGAGGGGGCTTGTGGGTAGCTGTGGCTGTAGGACGAGGTCAGGGTGTCCCAGGAGATGCTGGGCTTGTAGAACGGAGGTGAGTCGGAGAGTGGCGAATCCCCATCCTGGGCTCGGGACATCACAACAGGGCCCTCTGTGGAGATGGGGATACATGCATGGTGACTCATTTTAAAACAGGCCACCCACTCCCCTCTCCCTCCAGCACCCACTACCCCCTTAGTGACCCTGTGGGTTTCAGCATGTGACCCCAAATATTTACTGCAGGGGAGTCTGTGGTTCACTGTGGCTCTTCAGGTTTCCAGCCCAGAAACTCACCTGCCCTCACCCCAGAGAACCCACCTGACCCACCACAAGGACCTGCGCACTGCTCCCACATGGATACCCTCCTCCAGGAATTAGATCCCAGTCAGGAGGATCCAAGGAGAAGCCAGAGAGCCCAGATTGCATCCAGGTGACTTTGTGAGTCCTTCCAAGCTCTGTGACCTCAGCGGCTCTGCCGCAGATGTCTATGCATCCTCCTGCCCCCTGGCGCTTGCTGGGAGCAGCTGGGCTCCCAGGCTGGGTACCTGGGGGTGCAACTGCCCTGGCCAAGCTCTGGTCCTGCTCCAGCTTTGGTTTCTGCTTGGGGTTGGGCCAATCCAGGCCCTGGCTTGGGAAGAGGGTGCTGAGGAGAAGGCCACTGCTCAGGACCTGCTCCCGGGCCTCTGCAGAGAGACAAGACCATTGGAGTCACAAGCTGCCACTTTCAGGGAGCCCTGAGCAGGCAGGGGTCCCCCCGTTGTGCTGCTCTGGCCACTCACACCCAGGGGCTCTTCCGAGGGTAGGGAGAAGTGGGAGGCCAGGAAGAGACCCTGAGAACTCTTGGGCCAGTCTGGGTTTTTCTGAGCACCCCAACCGCAGCCCAGCCCTCTAGTTAGGCCCTGCAAGTCAGTAACTTAGCACATACACTCACCGCCCCACAGCTCAGGAGAGGTGAGTGCCATTCACTCACACATTCATTCAGCCAGCCAGACTGAGCCCTGCTTCCAGTCTTGGAAGAGGAGGCTCCCTTGCGGGGAAATGTTTCTGCCCCAACCCACATGCAGCAGAGAGCCTCCCCCAGGCTCCCGCTCACCAGGGGTGTGCACAGGAGGCCAGAGCAGGCCATCCTCCTGCACACGGGGCTGGTGGTAGGTGTGGGCCTTCTTGCTCTTCACCAGGAAGGAGCGCGGCATTCTCAGTGTGCACCCCGCACCTATGAGGGGAGAGCAGAGGGAAGATGAGGAAGGCAGGAGAACAACACACCTCTGCATTGTAGAGCCTCCTCCTGAGCTCAAACTGCACTGGGTTGACTCATGCCCCCGCCAGAGTTCGCAGCTACCCAGAACCTGTGAACATGACCTTATTGGAGGAAATAGCATCTTCGTGCAGATAGAATCAATCTCAGGTGATGTCACACTGGGGAAGAGGCCAATACAATGTGACCAGTGCCCTCATAAGAAGAGGGAAATTTGGACACAGAAACACAGACACACCCAGGATAATATCCTGTGACAAAAAAGACAGAGAGACTGGAGAGTGCTTCTACGAGCCAAGAAGTGCCGGGGCTCGCTGGCAGGGGCATGAAATGACTCTTGCAGTGTCCAGAAGGAGCCAACTCTGTTTTTGATTTTGATTTTGAAATCAAAGAGCCAATCCTTTGATTTTGGTCATCTGGACCCCCGAACTTTGAGAGAATATGTTTTGGTTGCTTTTGAGCTTCCTAATTTGTGGTACTTTGTTATGGAAACTATAGATCCTACCCAGTGCTCTGCTGCCCTGCTAGGAAGCTGCCATACGTACCCACCAGACAACCACGAGGCCACCTGCTCCCACCAGCATGCCCAGAGTGTGCTGGAGCAGAGAAGGCAGGGGCAGGGTGCCCACAGGTGGCTCACTGTGGACCCCACATTTAGAAAAGCTGAATTCAAGTCCCAGTGGAATCCACCTTCAGAGGACTCACCAGAAGGTGGTTTGAGCTTAGGTTTTATTTATTTATTTATTTATTTTCAGACAGAGCCTCAAGCTGTTGCCCTGGGTAGAGTGCTGTGGCATCACAGCTCACAGCAACCTCCAACTCCTGGGCTCAAGCAATTCTCCTGCCTCCGCCTCCCAAGTAGCTGGGACTACAGGAGTCTGCCACAGCATCTAGCTATTTTTTGGTTGCAGTCCTCATTGTTGTTTAGCAAGGGCCCGGGCTGGATTCGAACTGGCCAGCTCAGGTGTATGTGGCTGGCACCTTAGCTGCTTGAGCCACAGGCGCTGAGCCGAGCTTAGGTTTTAGAATCCGCAGCTCACAGGCTAGAACCTCAGCTTGCCTGCTGTGCAGTCTGGGCAGGCACTTACCCTCACTGAGTCTATCTCTTCTTCTCTAAGGTGGAATCTCCAGGCTTGTGGTGCTGACGGAAGCATCATATGTACCCAGTGCCTATCACGGGAGGCCTGGCAGGGAGCAGCAGGTAGGGGAAAACCTTGACTGCAGATCCACACATCCTGCCAGCTGGGAGTGGCCACAGCCACAGAACTGCACCTACAGTCTGGTCTCCAGAAAGAGGGGCCCAAGGCCCAGAGGACCCCCTACTGCATTGTACCTGGAGGTCTGAAGTTTTGCAAATGTCCATAGACTCCTGGAGCTGACCACTGGGCTGTCCCCTGAATCCCTAGTCAGAGGGGTGGGGGAGTGGCAGAGCTGGGCCATCTGACCACCCCAGGACCCCTGGCTTCCCCTGCAAAGCCCTGTGGGGCAGAGAGCTTCTCTTGGCCCTAGAATGGTTCACACCTTTGCACCCAGCCTGTGAGCTCTCCTGAGGGCTCCTGGGAGACAGTCTCTTCCTAGAGTCCTCTCTCCTTCTACCCGCTATGTTGTATCCAGGAAGAAGCTCAGAAGAAATATTCAGTCAAGGCCAATCCCATTCCTGTGATCTGGGAGGAGTCCCACCCCTACCCACCCTGCAGGGGCGATAGGACCTAGAGAAGGCGGGAAAAGTATCACGGCTTCTCTGAACAGCCATGAGGACTGGGTGATAAGGCCCTGGTCCAGGAGCAGGCTGGGAGGTGAGAGATTAGAAAAGGCAGCTTGGAGCTCTGCCTTCAAGGCAAGGGCCTGGGACTCACATTTACCAAAGGGATGACCCAGCCCAGCTAGAAGACAGACCCCAACAGTGCCCAGGGCTGCCTAGCCCATGGCCCAGAGCCCCACTGAGGCATCAGGACTTTGGGCTCTACCAGCTCCACCTGGGGGACATGCTTAGGCCTAGCGCCTTCTTACTGTGAGGCTAAAGGGGATTATGAGAGTGCTGGGATCAAGAAAAGACCCTTATGTCTCCTGAGCAGTAGGAAAGGTGCTTGTTGAGGTGCCTGGGCCCAGTAGGGTGGTGTCTCTGCCCACTAGAGGAGGAGTTTCAGTAGAGCAAGCAGTGCCCACCCACAGCAGGTGCACTCAGCGGACAGCACCAGCCCAGGCCCAGGGGCGGGGCTTGAAGGCCTCTAGGTCCCTTCCTGCTGTCAGATTCTTGGCTTTCTGAACAAAGGCTCAGGCTGGGGGCTGCTGGGCAGCCCACGGCCTTATCTCTCAGGGACACGTCTTCCTCCTCCTGCCCCCCCAGAGCACCCCACACCCCCTTCCTTCCCTCTTCTAACTCTTCTTCACCTCAGGAAACCCCCTGGGGAGGCCAGACCCTAGGTGGAGGGGAGGGAACCCCCCATGGGCCAGGGGAGGGCTGAGGGGGCTGGGTTCCCAATGTACTTTGGGGGGGGGGGCTCTGAGCACAGGGCCACGGTCTGCCTATAAACAGTGATCCACTTTTTTCACACATATTTTAAGAAGAAATCAACAAGAAGCAAAGCTTTGTACTAATACCCTGCGACAGAACACCAGGAAATGCTTGCCAGTGGGGTCTGCAAAACCTCCCAGCTCCTTACCCCTCTCCCACTGCATGGCCCAAGCAGAGTCCCCCCTACGCTCTCTTCTTTTTTTTTTTTTTTTTTTTTTTTTTT